TATTCTTTAATAAAAGGTTAATGTTATTAAATTTAAGTAAGTTTAACCTATTGGAGGAAGAGGCCACAAAGTGCATATGAGGAGTTGTCAGGGGATTAAATAAGCTAGTGGAGGTAATCCTTTTTGATAGTCAAAAGTACCTTGGCATTCCATTGAAAAAATTATTGAAGAAAAAAATAATTTATATGTGATGTGGGGATTACTATTATCCAGTAAGGAAGTAACTTCAAAAAGAATCAAAGGATAAGATTATTTGCTTACCTTTTAGATCTAGAAATGAGAATAGTGGGGCCTTCTAGGAATGAATGCTTGGGGATCCAGTTTTGTTTTAATATTTTAAAAGTTATGAGAATGGGGAGTACAAAAATGTCAGGTGTACAGATGATAAAAAACTATGTAGGTAGTAAAAATGCCAAGTTGGTGGCAATCAATTGAGTTAACTATGAAGCTTTGTGTTTCGGCAAGTGGGTTTAATTATTAAAGGCAGTCTAAACTGTGCTTAAAAGATAGTGGACCATTATAAAGTCATTATAAAAGTCCTTGAAGACAGTATGTCAGATGTCGTAGTCATTTAATAATTGTATGAGGAATGAAGGGTGAAAAAGAGTCATCTGACACGACATGTACATGTTGAACACCCCAATCCGAAAATCCAAAATCTGAAACTTTTTGAGTGCCAGTATGATGCCACAAGTGGAAATTTCCACATCTGACTCACGTGACAGGTTGCAGTCAAAATGTGTATGATGGGCTTATTGAAGGAGTAGAGCAGCTTTATCACAGAACAAGAAATCATGTCAGTTTATAGTCAGTTTATAAAGTCAGAGAGAGACTTCTCAGAAAAAACTATTGTTAATGAGGCAGAAGATTCTGGAGGAAACATTTTTAAAAGCCATGCAGTATAATGCCTCCTCATCCATAGAAGACCCACTTCCTGGTCTCTCAACTGCTTCTGGTGTTTCTTCTCACCTAAGAAAAAAAAATACCCTTTAAATCAAAGCACAGCATCGTAGGTGGAGACTGAAGGCCTGCTGCTGTTTGTCGGTGCTGTTGTGTAACAGCTGACACAGGTGTTCTGGTGACGCCACTACTGTGTTGCTTAGTCACCCTGAGCACGTTGATTTTTTTCACAGTATTAATGGTATGTCACATTTTTTACTGTTAAGTACTTATGTGTGAATAAGTATAAGAAAATGATTGTTTATGGGTAGCATATAAATTCAGAGTCAGGAATGGTGGTGATGCCAAACAACCACATGCTGTCCACATGGGCGGCTGAGATAGTGACACCTGTGCTTGATGGCTCAGTGTACAGAAACTTTGTTTCATGCACAAAATTATTAAAAATATTATATAAAATTACCTCAGGGTTTGTGTATAAGGTGTATATGAAACCTAAATGAACTTCATGTTTAGATTTGGGTCCCATCCCCAAAATATTTGATTATACATATGCAAATATTCCAAAATCCAAAAAAAATATGAAATCCAAAACACTTCTGGTCCCAACCATTTTGGATAAAGGGATACTTAACCTGTAACACCAAGAAGAGTATTATCAATCAAATAGAAAATGTTAGGGCCGGCCCGGTGGCGCACTGGATAGTGCGCCGCTTGGGAAGCGCGGCGGCGCTCCCGTCCGAGGGTTCGGATCCCACATACAGACCGGCTCCCGCTCACTGGCTGAGCGAGGCGCGGGGGCAACACCGAGGCCTGCCGGCCCCTTGCC